TGCTAAGCTAGCCCTTTCCGCACAATGGTCAGGTTTAGATATCGACGACATTCCGACGTCGCAAATCGAAAAACAAGGTTATCAGTTTTGGTGCAAAAAGGTGGTAAAATGGTCCACAACGCCTATGATTGATCAAGGTCCATTTCTAGGCTTCGCCCGTAATTGACATCCAACTTTTCACTGCAGCCAGAAAAAACATACAATGTAAAAGGTAGCCAGTGTAAAAGGGCAGAGAAAAACAGAAAGGAAAGGGCCAACAAACGAAATTGAGAACGGTTAATGGCTTATGCGCATGCCCGTAATTGAAGTTTTGCTCAATTTTGTACCTAATCCTCAAAAAATCTCTCCTTTTAGTAAAAAAAAGCTTTTTTAGCAAAACTTAGGCTTATTTAGCATCATGGAAGCTAAAAAACCTGAGTAAACGGTTAAAAACGGTATTTTTTGGCGAAAGTTTGGTAACCAAAGGGTTAACGGGTGAAAAAGAGAATGATGTCAAACATCGGCAGTGTTAGTCTAATATGGCCGCTATCTTGAAACGAAGTCGAACATCTCAGGTCTTAACACGTTTTTCCTAGCACCTTGCTAGTTTTGGTCTTTACATCAAGACATTCTACTTTCGCCTGGAACTTTATCTCTTGATATTAGAATCCCATCTCTTCAACGGGTAAAAAAGAGAACCATGTCAAACATCCGCCATGTTAGTCTAACATGGCCGCCATCTTGAAACGAACTGTAACGTTTGTGGTCTAATAACCTTTTTCCTAGTACCTTACTGTGTTTTTCTTTACATGAAAACAGTCAATTCTTGCCTAGAACTTTATCTCTTGATATTAGAATCCCATCTCTTTTATGGGTTGAAAAGAGGATGATGTGAAACAACAGCCATGTAAGTCTAATATGGCCGCCATCGTGAAAGGAAGCGCAACTTTTCTGGTCTAATAACTTTTTATGTAGTACCTTGGAAGTATTTGTGTCCATATCAAGAAAACTGAAACTTTCACCTAAAACTTTATCTCTCGATGTTAGAATCCCATCTCTTTAACGGGTGGAAAAGAGTATGATGTGAAACATCGGCTATATTACTCTAATATGGCAGCCATCTTGAAGCGAAGTCCAACATCTCAGGTTGATTGTCGTTGTTCTTACAACTTTGCTAGTCTTTGTCTCTATATGGAGAAAGTCTATTTTCACTTGGAACTGCATGTCTTGATAATAGAATCCCATCTCTTCAACGGGTTTAAAAAAGGATTATGTCCAAACAACGGCCGATGTTTCACATCATCTTCTTTTCAATGTTGATCTAATGAAACCGCCATCATGACACGAAGCCTAACATCTCAGGTCTAATAACATTTTTCTTAGCATTTTTTAGTTTTTGTCTTTACATTAAGACAGTCTACCGTCGTCTGGAACTTCATCTCCTGATATTGGATTCCCATCTCTTTCAAAGAGATGGGATTCCCATCTTTTTAAAAGAGAATGAAGTTTAAACAATGGCTATGTTAGGCTTATATGGCCGCCATCTTGAAACAAAGTGTAAATTTTCTGGTCTAATAGTAGTAGCTTGGTAGTTTTTGTGTGGATATCAAGATATAAAACTGTAGCGTAAAACTTCATCTCCTGATGGTAGAATCCCATCTCTTCCACGGGAGAAAAAGAGAATGACGTCAAACATCCGCCATGTTAGTCTAATATGGCCGCTATCTTGAAACCAAGTCCAGCATCTTAGGTCTAATAACGTTTTTGTTCGTACTTTGCTAGTTTTTCTCTTTACATCAAGACAGTCTACTGTCGCCTGGAACTTCAATTCTCGATATTAGGCTCCCCTCTCTTTCACGGGTTGAAAAGAGGATGATGTCAAACAACGGCCATGTTAGTCTTATGTGGCCGCCATCTTAAAACGAAGTGCAACTATTCTGGTCTTATAACGTTCTATTTAGGAGCTTGGTAGTTTTTGTGTTAATATCAAGATATCAAACTGTCACTTAAAACCTCGTCCCTCGATGTTAGAATCCCATCTCTTCAGCGGGTGGAAAAGAGTAAGATGTGAAACATCGGCCATGTTAGTCTAATATGGCCGCCATCTTGAAACGAAGTCGAAATTAAAATTAGAATCCCATCTCTTTAACGGGTTGAAAAGAGGATGAAGTCCAAACAACAACCGAGTTTTCACATCACCGTCTTTTCCATGTTGATCTAATATGGCTGTCATCATGAAAGGAAACCCGGCATTTAAGGTGTAGTTACGTTTTCCTTAGCATTTTGGTAGTTTTTGTCTTTACATTAAGATAATCTACTGTCACCTGGAACTTCATCTCTTGATATTAGAATCCAATCTCTTTCACGGGTTGAAAAGAGGATGAAGTCCAAAGAAGGGCCATGTTAGTATAATACGGCCGCCATCTTGAAATTTCTGGCCTAATAATTTCAAGTTTTTATATAGTTAGCTTGGTAGTTTTTGTGTGGATTTTAAGATAATATATAGATTTAGCCAAGACTAATAGCAGAGCTCTTGTGCCAGGTTGTTTAAAGCCCGATAAAGCTAACACATAAGCGAGAATTTTGATTTGAGTTTTCCAACGTTGTTGAATTTTTGTGAGGTTTTCTGTTTATATTGTTTGGCTTTCTGTTTTGAGTTTGAATGATCTAAAACTACAAACGCAGCCCATGACTCAAAAGCAGTGAAAATCATTTGTATGCAAGAAAAAATTATACTTCGGTTAACTTTTAATCCTGGGTTAGCGTTAACCACCTTCCGAACAACCTGGCCCTGATCGTCGCCCTAATTACAACAAATAAACCTGACATGAGCCCGCGATCCTATCTAAAGCCAGTCCTTAGTCAGCGGTCAACTTTAAAAAACACATGACCTCCATGAGCTCTTAACCTGAGCTTGCGATATGGTCACTTGTTACTAGTCAGCGGATATCTTGCTTTGACAGGTGTCAATTGACCATAACATGGATGTCCAATATCAAAGACATATGCTGTGAACCAAGACTGCATGACTTGGTATTAGCTGGATGGTCGCCATGCTATGCGACGTCGTCGTCGTCGTCGTTGGGTGCACGCGCCCGCGATCCATGCCGCTAGTCAGGTTTACCATGAAGCAAGAGTTGCATGGGTTTCTACCTCTATGCATGCACATGATTCTGTTCCTATAGTTATGGTGCTCCGTTTGGCGGCACTTCGGGCCGCCGGAGCTCCGCTATCATAAATGGATGGCTATGTAAGCTAAGAATGTGAATGAGAAAACCTGTATTTAGCTATCCAAACATACATAACATACATCTTGTTGTTTCTGTTTCAGTCAAATATTTATTAGACCAAGCTTAATTGCTGAAAATATCATTCTCAGCTGCAAACGAATTTAAGAATAAGAGGTTTCCTACCCAGTGCTTGTAACATAAATGGATGACAAGGATACTTGTCTCGCTGTTTGAAAGAATAATGTGAAATCCTGAAACTTTCTGAAGAGTAACATAAGATGTTTAAAAATAAGGGAGAAATAGCCAACTCCCGATTTGCTAAACACAGGACATCGCATCTGCTGAAAGAATCATATTTAGAAAAAAAATTCATAAAACGTTTCTAAAACGATTGTATCCCTCCGCATTTTGCTGCTCCGCTGGTACATCAGAGTATCCACGGAAAAGCAAAGTACGTTGAATAGTCTACAATTTTCAAGTGTAAGTTTAACGCGAAACAGCTACGCTAAATCGCTTTCCTGGGAGTCTAGCAAAAAGACGTAAAGATAGTGTAAGTATTCTCATGTTGTAATTTATCAAGGATGATGACGAGGTTTAAATTTCCAGAAATAAAACAGGCTGCGATCAGATCAAACACAGTGTTATCTAAGTAAGGACTACTCCGCGAGTTTGTCCTCAGCTGGTTCATCTTTTTTCGCTTCCTCTTGACCTTCTTCCGGTTTTTCTTCGTCTTTCTTATCCTCATCTTGTTTATCCTGTTTTTCAGCTGCTTTCTCCTCGTCTCCATCCTTTTTCTCACCTTCGTCTTCTTTCTTATCGGCGTCTGGGTTAGCCCAGGGCTGCAGGTCACCTGACACCAGCAGACCGAAGATCACGATGCCGATGATGTACACTACTGCTGTGATCCAGAATACAATGCGCCACTCGCCTGCGGTCTAAAAATAATGACCAGTAGGAATTCAGTTACACCAGTTGAACATTTCTTCCTTTTTAAATCATATAGTTCGAGAGATCGACACTTCTTATGGCAATAAAGAACTCCGGGTTCGGGACTAGGGCCCGTTTCTCGAAAGTCCCGGTAACTTTTCGGGTACGTAAAGTCATTTTTAATTAATCCGTATCTAAAAACAAAGAGGTTTACACGCCTTAAAATTCTTGTATGAAGAGAACCTCTGTTCATATTAAGAATATGTGAATAAAACAGCTCTGTAATCATGAGATTTAAAATTTTGTTACGGCTTTCCGGGTGCGAAAACTTTTCGGGGCCTTCGAGAAACGGACCGCTGGTCGAGGTCTTTGTGTTTCCTTGTTGGAAAAAAAAAAAACGTATCTTCCGCAGTGTCTTCCTTCCACTGATTACCCATATACGACAGCAGAATCCCATCTAGAAAAGAAGCAATGCTGTTACCCACTCTTGACCAGCACTGGCACTGCTGAACGATCTGAATATGTTTTCTTGGGCGCTTTCCATTCAATGAAAAATTCCGGTTTGATTTTCTGGAAATTTCCAGCGACGAATGGAACAGCATTTTCCGGAATATGCAGAAAAGGAGACAACCTTGCGGGAAATTTCCGTTCAATCTTACCTTCCTACCTGAATTTCCGAGATTTTCGGTTGAATGGTTCGCTCTCCAGAAATTCAACAATTTCCAGATTCTCTATCCCTTGAAATTTCCTTACCATTTGTCCCCAATTCGAAATTTTCGTTCTTTTTGCTTGAATGGAAAGCGCCCCTTATTCCTGTTAGAAATGCAAATTTGTGTTTTCAAGATATATAATTTCATTAAGGATGGTAGCTTACCTTATTAGGGGTCAGAATCCCAACAATCTGTGGGCTGATGAACCCGGGTGAGGCGCCAAACACGTTAGTCACTCCCATGATCACGCCTGCGTATTGAGGTGCAATATCCAGGATATTGACGGCATAACCCGAGGCGTTAAGACCTGTTATGCCGACACCAATGGTAAGAAATGCAACGGCAAGAGCCGGAGTCTCGGCATATCCGGTAATCAGGATAAAGAGTGAAGCAGTTGTACAACCTGCAAACCAAGGAACTCTCCAATTAGCCTGAGCCTACAACTGTTTTCTTAACCATCAGCGGTGAGGTTCATCGACTTTCTAGCTTGATATTTCCTCATTTGGGTAAGTTTAGCGGAGGCGGCCTGGCCAAGTGGTTTAGGGCGCTGGATTTGAAATCTGGAGGTCCCTGTTTCAAATCCTCTACCCTGCCGCTATCTGAATTTGTTCTCGGTAGCCCCGAGTTCAACTCCTCTACCGCGTTGTGTAAATAGCCAACTGGTCCGCCTCCCCACCATTCGGGATTCTTAATGATATACGTTCTATTTGCAATATTTGTTTAATTATTCACAGCGTCCTCAATAACCCCATGCACCACCTTTTTATTTTTCTCTCTATGACCAATCCTAGGTTAGTACCTAGCCGGAGTAAAGATTAGTCCAACTTAGGGTTAGATTTTTGGAAACTGAAAGGCTTGACGTAACTAATTTTCTTATGCATCGGCTATTCCATGGAATAGGTAAGGGAAAAAACAAGAAATCTGAGATTGCAGACGTTTTTGAAAAAGTAAGGATCAGCACCTAAGGTTACGGTTAGCTAAACCTACGGTTGAAAAACCGAAACTGAGAAGATTGACTAAAATAATTTCATTGCTCTCGTCCGTTGATGTAGGTGCCCAGGCCCTTAAGGACACATTCGATAGCATCCTTGCACCATCAACACTCAGTAAAAGTCTTGACCAGAAATAAAACCACGTTACAGACATTCTGGACAAAAACAGTTATTAATTTAACACGGTGGTCACACATTTCCCAGGCATTCTCAATTCAGTATCCAAACTGCAAGCAGAAATGTTCATTGTTTCAACTTGCATTTATGATTAAAAAAATGCTATATAGATATCACTGAATATCTACTTTTTTCGTTTCGCAGAGAACGAAATACACAAGCTTCAAACGAAATGCAGTTTCTCTTACCAAAAGAAAATTAATAATAATAAAAAAAATTAAAAAACGTTTTCTCTCACCAACGGTAAAGATGCATCTTCTCGTATTTCTAACAGACATCTTGTTTTTAATGAGCCAATCTACGAGAACTCCACCTGACGGTCCAACAAATGCTTTAACGACATACGGCAAGGCCGCCAAGAACCCAGTCTGTGTACAAAGGTTTGATTAGATTAGTTCTAATAGTCAGGAAATTTAATAATACGATGATAGACTTCTGACTTTGTGTCGCGCAACTTGTTGCACTTAAAGACCTTCCCTCGAAAATTTTCTAGTCGATAGATTTTTTAAATATTTACTACAGTCAGGTAATGAGTTACTTGTGTCAGAAATGAACAGAAATTTGGGGTCACCGACTTCGTTTCAGAATAAAGCGTGTGGAAAACTACGTACCCTGATTTTGAAAAATTGGTGCACGTAATTGAGCATGGTCTACAGGGGTTTATAGTTAAGAATATCTAAGGTGAGACAACGGAGGCAAACGATCTTAATCATATTTTGTAGAAGTGGGTCTGTTGCGTAAATAACTGCAAATGTTGCCAACGTTTTCACAAAACTTAACCCTTCAAGAGGCATTTGAAACCGCCGCACAGATAAACGAAGAGCTAAAGGGAATGGAATTCGATGGTACATTTTGCAAAAAAATCAAACTTCTAATCGATAGATCTTCTTCATTTTTTCGCTAAACGTAGAAAATTGGTAGAAAAAATGATCCATCAAAAGAAAAATAGGGGTCACCGAGCGTCCAAGATCGCTATATCCAGGCAAAGCTATAGCAATGACCATCTGCCATATCATTGTTCATTTTATTACTTAGCGCGCACTCGAGGCATGACGTGGCGTGTAAATTTGCGTGCGCAGTAAGGATGCGCAGAAGCAATTGGCGCGAACGTCCTTAATCAGGGCAGACAAGCTGCTTTTCAACAAATAAGGAGAAACGCCAAAGTCTTTCGTGTCTTGACTTGCACCAGCTTTGTTGCGTGTGGCAATGGTTGCACGTTCTTCATTAGTGTTCTGATTTGTTCAAGCTTCATTTAAGTGTTTGTTATTGGCCGTATTTCGTTACTTTGGCTATAGTTCTCTGCCTGTCATGACAATGCTTCTTTATGAAAAATATCATATATCCGGTTTCGAGCGTTACTTGATTTTGGGACAGGTGAGAGATTTATAAGGAAGAGTTCTGAAGCGGTGCCGAAAGCAGAACCGGGCAAAAATGATGTAATTAGATAAACGCTTGCAAGTAAATATCTGAAAGACTATATATTTTATATTGGGAACTCGCATGACCAGCTCCCTGTTGGCTTGATAGCTCAGTTAGTAGAGCACTGCACCAGTATCGCAGAGGTCATGGTTTCGAATCCCGTTCAAACCTGAATTTCTTTCGCGCTTTAATTTCACAACTGCTTAAGTTGTGTACATAACTGCGATGATCATTCAGGTCTTAACAGATCATTGATCACTTCACAACTAAGAGCTTGTGAAGAAGCTTGTCATATCCTTTGTATGCATGGATGAAGTTGCGTTTAGAAATTACTCAATAACAATAATAACAATCGACGCTTCCAAAATAGAATGAGTAACTGCATAAGGACATACAGATCTATGTACGTAATTTCACTAAATACATACCTTAGCAAGGTCGAAGTGCAAAACTTCGATGAAATATTTAGGGAGACAGATCAGTATAGTATACATGCCCCAATCTGCGGTGAAGTTGGCCGTGATAATGGCCCACACCGGACCCGACGTAACAATTGATTTCCATGGAACCTGGCCTTTCTAAGACAAACCATAAACAGACAGAAGGATTTAATTAACTATGGCAGCCTTTCCCGGATTGGAGTTTTTTGTCTGCTAGAGAGTTATATTTCGCTCTCGGATGCGCGACAGCCACTCTTACAAGAGCAAAACAAAACGTCAGCCAGTTTAATGTTTCCAGGCTGTTTACGTGAAAGAGCATATAAGTTTTCCCTTTACCTTTGCAGCAGGAAGTTTTGCTATACTTTCTTCTATATAGTCTTTTTCTTCAGGAGTGATTGTGGGATGCTCCGATGGAGACCCATGGATCGCGAGCTGCCATACAAAGAACCACAGAAGACCAATTGCACCTAAATATACAACGAAAAGCTTCGCGTCAAAACGCTAATGCGTTATCAATAGTAAGTAGCACATATCGATAACAGTTTTTACGATAACTGTCTAATTTCTCGCGCGCTGATTGGCTCATTTTTATCATCAATAAGAGTACAGACAGATAAAATTTTAATTTATGCAAGCTTTAAAGTTCAACTTTCAGCTGTCAAACTGTCAACTTTTTAACCAATGAGATTTTATGGACTTTTTTAAGTAGCCAATCAAAAAGCGAGAAAAACTATTGACAATGCTCGCGTCATTTTGAATAAAATTCACTTATCTTTGTTTACGGCAAGTCTACGGCGTCTTTTCCCCTTATTTATTCCCGGCATTTGACCATTTTGGGGTCTTGTTATTGTAAAAAACAAATCTACGTCAGTTTTTTATGCGTCTGTCCTCTTATTGATGATAAATTACGTCATAGCATTGTCAAAGTTTACTGCGGAACAACTCGCGTGCGGCTCGTGGTTCTTATCAAGAACATGATAAGAAACCTCCCTTTGCTGGAACCCAGATCGACTCAATGATTTGGCGCACAACTGCCATTCGATTAACGCGACCGCTGCTAACTCAGACGCATGCCAACTGTATACATATTCACTCGTTGTTCTAAGTTACATGCAACAAAATACCTTGTGCGTTGAAATTGTGGCTTAAAGAATTACGTTATAACTTTCAAATGAACAACGTGAAAAGGAGACTAATCTTGTGAATTCAGGTAAGGAAACACGAACCGGATAAGACTTAGTGCCGTGCTGCAATCACTATACCCATGACCCAACCATCATCTTCCACATAGTCAGTCTTCATTTTGTCCATCTTAGTTACAGGTTAGTTTAACCCTGACCTATTCGAATAAGCGGCCCCAGTTAATATAACTTTAGAACAGAAAGACTTGGGTACGGATAGTTTTGACCGAGCTGAGAACAAATAAAAGTTTAGCTAGGTTAGAGATGGACAACCCACTCTCCTATGTGATGCTCTCTTACCAAAGCAGTAGAATACGGACGCCCATCCGCCATCAAATCCATATTTGGACATGATTCCACTTAAGGGCATGGAAAGGATAGTACCCACAGGACAACCTGTCAGGTGATAATGCACACAAGATTGTTATGGATACCACACCGCCTTTGAAATATATACCTTGGAGCCCCATCTTACTGCTACCCCGTTAAAACAGCGTCTCCGTTATTATGGCTTCTTTTTTAGGCCGAAACAATGTCCTAGTTGGTCATCTTCTTTAATGTAAGAACCCCTTTAATACAACCAACATATTATGGCCAAAGGCTGGTTGTTTTGATGGGCATCCATTGTGATCATGATCAAATATTGAGCTACCTCTATTTAGAAAATTAGCCAGAGTGGCGCGGATATGAATACTTACAGTATTACAATGACCGTGTTTTAAGGTGGCTGGTAACAGTTTCCAGCACTTTCAAAGACTTGGATAAAACCACTCTTTATCAGTTGATGCTACCGATCATAGTATCAAAAAAACTGCCCAATCATTCGTGAACACGTTGTTATCAATTTTGTGACAATAGGCAACCATGGCTTCGGTAAAACCTGTTAAAACACCTTAACATTAGCTTTTACTGCTTGTAGTACACTGAAAACGAGCTCGGTGGCCCTCAATTTTTATTATTGAATTTTGATTAGCAGGATTAGACGCAACTTTTGGCAAAGTCTAAGAAAATTCTGCATATGGGGTTCTGGCCTGTCTGTCTGTCTGTCTATCACACTAAAACAGAGAGAAATGCACAGTGTTTGCACATCACAGACCTGCAACGGTAATAGTAAACAATCGTGTTCTTTCTGAAGGCGGTGCCCACTTACTCCAAATGGCGTGGTTGCACGGAAAAAGAGCCCCCTTGGAAAAACAACAAACATAAAATGGTTGAAATCGTTGTTAATTACACGAGGCAACTGTACAGGAGTGTCATCAGGTTCTTCTCGCTTCACTTCTTATCTTGATGGCATGCTAGTGGGTCGAACGTTACCCTCAGCATAAACAATTAATAAACCATTGATGTCCAGTTATTCATGGGTTGTGTTTCTTACATTTTAACAGCTCCTACGACAAAACTTTTTCCAAAACCTTTTTCTTGTGTCACGATTTTTCCAGTGGACAACATGCGAAATTCTCCCTGCTGCAACTTCTTGTTGATACTGATAATGACTAGGGATGTCTTTTGTGGGAATGTACTTGAAGATGAACTTAACATAGGTTACAACAGTATTATTTTTATTACTTTGGGACGGTTATTTATCAGAGGAAAAATGCCGTGTTTTTTCACTCACCAAAGCCAGCCCCTCTATCACCCTGAGAGTAATGAGAGCGGCGACGCTCGTTCGCGCAGCTATCGGTGTCAGCATGGTAAGAATCGAAGCGATCCCAAGGCAGATCCCGAATACGCGAGTCCCGCCAAACCGCTGACCTAGCCAACCGCCTGGAATCTGCATAGCAGTGTAGCCGTAATAAAAAGCGCCAAGAATGGTGCCTTGTGAGAAACAAAGGATATCGTAATCAATAGGTAATCACAAACTCTTTGTTAGGTCTCAAGTCGTTCACATCAACACTGAAGGAGAGAAGGAGAAAAGCCCGGGGGGGGGGAGGGCGGAAAAGCTCCGCGGATCGTAGTGATGTAGATCAACGGGATTTTTTGCTTTGGTTCTAAAAACCTGTTCACATCAAAAAGTCTAAAAAGTATTCGGATGGTATAAAGTGAACTGAAGGTGAGTAAAAATGTCCCTTCATCGCAATGGAAAAAGACCTCGCATATATATCAATAAAATAGTTACCTTGCAGCTTTGAACTCCAGTCAAATTCTGCTTTCTTGAAATAAAAAATATATATAAAAAGGCGTGTAAGTGCTGAAAATGGTCACTTTAGAGTAAATATAGAACGCTAAAATTAATTCGAATAGTTAATTAAATAGCTCATGAGAAAGAAAGAGAGGAAGAGTCTTAGTGTTTTAAAGATCTCTTCAACCTCTGCCGCTGAGATTGATAAACAGGTGTAATATTTTACATGTAATCCCTGTACCGTTATGTGTACAAATGTATTCCCCTCCCCGTTCTCGATTACCCCTTTTTATTTTCATGGTTAGGCCTCAACAGCGAGAAAACGAACCTTCTGTATGGTGAATCCGTTTTGTTCAATTGTGTGGTTATTGCACATAGCTCCAATTGCTACACTAAGATTAACTCGGAGGGCGTATTGTACGCAGATTCCAAGAAAAATCATAATTGCCACAATGTATCTTTTGGGAAAACTTGATTTCTTGCCATCACTCTTTTCAGCTTTCTCGCCTTCCCCTTCGACAGGATCTGGTTGAGGTTCTTCAGTATCAGCCATGATGTAACTGTAAAGGGACAGGGAGTTAAAACGAGTAACAGTAATACAATTGCTGACTGAAATGAGTTATAACTGAGATAAACATGACATCTTGTCTACCTTGTCACTACAAGCCTTAGATGGGTGGAGTATGGTTAACTGACAAACCAGCCGACGGACCGACCAAACGACTAACCGACTACTGATTGACTGACTGACTGACCGATCGACTGATCGACTGATCGACTGATCGACTGATCGACCGACCAACCAACCCACCGATCGACCTACTGTCTGACTGACCGATTGACTCACTGAGTGATAACGACTGACTGACTAACTAGTCATGTCTGAATTACTGACTGACTGATTGGTTGGCTGGTTGGTTGGTTGACTGACTGACGGACGGACGAATGGATGCTGACTGACTGCATGACTGATCGATTGACTGATTGATGATTGATTGTTCGATTGATCGATCGATAGATTGTTTGACTGACTGACTGACCTTTCACGACTGACTGACTGACTGACTGACTGACTGACTGATTGACTGACTACTAGCTGCCTGAATGACAAAACTGACTGACAAACTTGGCCTGATTAAACACTATATGCAGACTAGTTACCTGCGACTGACTCTGCTGCAAATATATTTTATAGATTATACAAGTTAATTACGCTTTATTTTTCCAACTTTTCTTCGAAAATTGTTTCAGTCCATCAAATTCTAGAAAAAAGAGCGACTTATTTGTCAGCTTCATATGGTTCTCTCTTATGTCCCGCATGAAGAAAGCGACCTCGCATTTACATTGTTAAATTATGGCTGATAGTAAATAGAGGTTTTCTCAAATTAAAGTGTTCACAGTTAGTTCTTTTAAAAGATTTTTATCTTTGGGCCAAACACAGTTCAGATTCAATCACTGGTACCATGAAACAACTTGACACTTGGCTGTGGACCGGAGACTATTTCTTACTGTTAGAGAGGTAATACTGGCAAAGCTGAAGATATTTTTTTAGGAAAATGCGTTTAAAGTTTTCCTAGAGCTATTGAAAAATTAGCGAGGGTCTCGAATGTACTGATAATAGGATTGTAGGCCTTCAACCGCTCGTTTGAAATAAGCTAAATTATTTAATAGCCACCAAATACTTTTTATTCCTTAAATCACTCTCATCGCTTTCATGATGGATTAACGGCGAGCTTTTGCCTTCAATGACTAGATTTATTATCATTTGGTGATAAAGTCATTTTATCAAAATGGAAACAACATGAAGTATTCGCTGTAATAATATGCATCATTGAGAAAAATTTGGAGTCCTAATGCCAGAACCACCGATGACGCATAGAGTTTTGAAGTTCCTGATTTCAAGATATAACAGCAAAGCTCTCGGCATACCTTGAGTCGTACTGCAATTAAATTACGAGCCGGACGAACTTAACTCAAAAGGCTAGCAAGTGCGATAATAAGAAATATAAGATTGTCCAGGGAGTAACAGCCGAAACAAAGTATCCATTGGATCAGAATTAAGAAGTTATTTGACATCATTTTCATCTTACTGAAAGGAAACATTACATAGATATGCCTTAGACAATGTCTACTTTAACTAACACGAGAAAGAGAAATAAAAAAACTTACCTTTTAGTGATATATTTGTGATGTAGTTGATGTTTTCTCACAGTGACAGGTACATCTTCGCGGTTGGACTCTTTTCTTTGAGGAAATTCAAGGAATTATCCGTTGGCCAAAATCTCAACTCCCGTCAATATCGCCAAATTATCTTACAGCGCGTTGGACAAGGCTCAAACAGTTTTCATTTGATTCTTTACCAATCGAACAATATTGGAAAGGATCAAAAAGTTAACAAGAACCTGCGTCGTGTAAATAAACCGCCCAGTTCCGCTACGACCACTATTTCTAAGATTATTAATATTTGATTAAAAACACTCACGGTGTTAATCAAGCGTGTGAATCGAAGCACTAGCCCACAGTGGAAGGCAAAAAACGTCGTTCAATCAATTAAGTTGACTTTTAACTTGGAGTTATAAGATACATTCAGCAGCTAATAATTATATAATTATGGGTGAGTACTTTAAGAATCTTTATTAGTGTAGCCGTAGTGAGAAAGCATACAGACTTTTTTCCAATTGGAAACTTTTAATAAGATTCTTACAAACCTTTAACAAACAAATTCAAAATCAAGTAGTGTTGCAAATTTTAGTAATTTGAATAAAGTCATATCATTTCTTAAAAAGGTCGTCCCTAATGGGAAATCATGTTTAACGTTTGGCATGGTTCTTATATCTTAAGTCTGGATACTGCATGATTTCGGTTAAACGCTTAGGCCTTTTATTTCAAACTGGGTTTCAGAGACCCCAGGTATATTTCACGGTGTATTTTACAGTTTTATATTTTGACATGAGCGTCGACAAGTCTCGACTATCTTTGACGGCTTGGCCGCTTCCTGGGCTAATGTCGTCAGTGGGGAAGATCGTAACCGGTGAACAAGCTACCTGAATCCAACGATCTCCAACGTTGGCACTTTAATCTCCGCACTTCGTGAAGATTCAGACAAACATAGAAGGCGCTCATTTGCTTTTGTTCGTTCGACTTTGGATGAGCTACCGATGTTTGTTTAATTAACACAGATACCAATTAGTCCATTACGATAAATCGGATAACTAGCGCAATTGCAAAAAAATGAAGTTATAAAAGTTCTCAGTACATTGGCAAACAGTTCTTTAAGCGTCATTTTGCTTGTTATTTATTTTAATTCGTTTTGTTTCCGTTATTCGGTCCACGACGAAACTGTATTTTTCGCTGGAGAGGTTGTTTCTAAAAATAAAGAGATACGGGAAAGGGTTGACTCAGCGGTATGATACGTGCTCGTGTCCTGCCGAATCTTCAATTTTGAAGATTTCTTATGTCGAATTTGAATTTCACATAATCATAAATTTGCAAGATTTTTCCCGCGAAATCTCGAATTTTGCCAAATCCTTAATTTACAATATTTGTCTGCCGAATCTTGAGTTTTGCTTTATCTTGAATTTTCAGCATTTGCCCTCCCGAATCCTGAATTTAGCCAAAGCCTGAATTTCCAAGTTTTTTTGCGCCGACTTTTGAATTTTCATATTTTTCTGCCGAATCTTCGAGATTTGGTTTGCTGCATCTTGAGTTTTCCTTTATCCTAAATTTTCAAGATTTGTGTTGCCGAATCATGAATTTCATCTGTCAATCCTGAAATTTCAAGATTTGTCCCGCCGAATCTTCAATTTTGCTAAATCTTGAATTTTTCAGATTTTTCCAGCGAATATTGAATTTTGCAAGATCTTGAATTTTTCAGATTTGTTCTGCCGAATCAGAAATTTTGCCAAATTCTGAAATTCAAGATTTGCCCCCACGGATCTTGAATTTTTCTAAATCTTTAAGTTTTAAGATTTTCCTGCCGAATCTTGAGTTTTGGCAAATCTTGAGTTTTCAAGATTTGTCCTGCCGAATCTTCTTTTTTTTTCAAAAACGTGAAATTACAAGATTTATCTTGCTGATTCTTGAATTTTCTCACATCTTGAATTTTCAAGATTTGTCCTACTGAATCTTGACTTTTTCCCCTTACCTGAATCCAGTCACTAACATAAAGTTTAAACTTCAGAATTTGTAAAGATCCACAATTTGCCAGGACTAATCTTAAGAACGTTCACGATTGCAGGATAAAGTTTTTCACATAAGAGAAATTGGCTTACTGGGCATCGCAAAGTGCGACGTGAGACTTTGATTCATTGCATAGTTAACAACCAAACAGGTTAACAATTAGTTTATATATCAGTGAGCATTTAGCAGAACGAAATTTCTGCTTTTTTGATAGCAGGTAATAAAATAGTAGGCAGTGTAACAATGGTGAAACTTAACGCTGATTGTGTATGGCTTACAAGGATCTTCGTTTCACTTATGTCAGCTTTGATTATTGAGCTCAACTCGATATTTTTGTGTAAACACAAAAACAGTCTGTCAGATAAACCAATTGTGTTTTACAACTCAGGTAAACAAGATAGTCATAAAGGTACTGGAACAATCAATACCCAGGACATTAAATTTGTTCATTAAAAGTACGTTGACCAATAGTGCTTTGTATGCCATTTGACATCATTCCCAACACTACTTCATTTCTCTTCCTGCATGCTAGCACGTCTCGGTAGGCCTTTCTGAAATCGCGGTTTGTCAGCCAGTATATGAACGGGTTCACAGTACTCGAGATGAAGATGAGAAAAGCGTTTAAGATGAACACTTGCCGAGGCAAATTCCCACCTCCAGTAAATGTGTCAATAAAATCAATGATGGACACTGGTGCCCAACACAAAATAAAACCCAAAGTGGCGAACATCATTGTCCACGTGGCCCGCATTTCGCGCGCTTTCCTCGACTGGTTATTGGCTGGATGCGGATTGCCTTCCATCTGTGCGACTTGTTGGTTGCTTGATCTTATTGCCAAGAAGCATTTCGTGTAGCTAAACGTTATAAGCCCCATTGGAAATGCGATGAAAAGCAGCTGAACTATCGTTGTGTACATCATGTTGACGTTGAAGGGGTAAATGCAGAATGCTTTTCCTCCGTTAAAAGCATAATAACCCCAACCCACTAATGGTGGAACACTTGCGATGCTCGGCAAAATCCATAGGAGGGCGATTATGAGCACAACATTTCTATGGGTGAAGATGATTTTACATGCAAATGGACGGCAAACAGCAAAATAACGATTAACAGCAATTACCGACATGTTGACTTGCGAAACTATTCCGAATGAAAATATGAAAAATCCTTGCAGATCACACACCACAGAGCTAAATGGCCATTGGCTTGAAATCAGCACATGCAAAGATATTGGCATACAAACTACCGCCATCAAAATGTCGCTTACTGCTAAGTTTGTTGCAAACATGTTTGGAACTGTGCGGAGACGAGGAGTCCTCAATACTGTGACGCAAATCAAAACGTTGCCAGCAAAGGCTAGGATGATAAGAGTAATGAGTACGGAAGATTCCAATACCTTTATTGGCATACTTCGTTGAGTTAAGTCAGTGACTAGCTGGGGATACTCGTCCAAGGAGGCCATCGCTGCCAAGCTGACTGATGTGCTTGGTGGCTGTCCACTATTCGAGATCGATAAACCGAAACTGTTAGAAGAAGAATAAAACGATAAAGTTACAAATTACCTTTCGCAGATCTGCATAGTCAGCACCGAGTTAGACAACATACTCAAGGTTCTAATTTCCATCCCACTCCTCGGTTGACGAACAAATCGTGAGATAATTGTTTTTCAGTGTAACAAAAATCTGCCCAAGTCGACATACCCCAAATTTGACGAACAAACGTAGGATTGTGACAGCACAAATACGGAGGCAACGCTATCTTTAACTTAATCCCTTAGGCAAACCAAAAACACCGGGAAATCGTTAGCCGTTGGAGGACGTTTGTGTTAGATACACACGCTGATAATGGGTTTGCTTTCAATTTTCGTTTCTTTATATTTCTAAGAGATTGATCAATGTATTCCTTTAACCTGCTCTAACAAAAATCTTGAACAATGTTAATGATGTTATTCATGTTTTTGCTTTTAATTTTGATTGCGTTGGTTGATTCGGTTAATGAGGCTTTCAATTGTGTCGTAAAAACAAAACCAAGTAATTTTCTGATAACCATGCACTCTATCTACTTTAATGGTTTTATTATTTGGTTAGTAGCAGGTATTGAAAACCGTTCTATATGGATTGGACACTTTTTAAATATTAATTGGCAAAAGCATACACACCGATCCTGATCATCGTGATTAAAATCTAATGGAAAGAGACCTTAATATCCCTCGCAGTGATCGTTAGTTTCAATGACATTGCTTTCTGATGAACAAAAATTAACTGCGACAATTAACATTGTTAATTAAAATAAATGACATTTGTGGTAATTGGAAGCAAACTACACGCAATCAAAAAAACCATTTTGCTCTAGGGTGTTTACATTTGTGTTTGCGGGGCTTGAGGCAACAACTGAATCGACAAAGAGAAATAAATTCCAAGTCTGAGAATAATGCAGTCAAGGTGGTTCAGCTAAAACCAATTTGAAAAAGACATGTGCCATAGAACATGTTATACTGTTTATGAGGAGAAATTGGGAGCAAAACGCAACAACTAAATCAAATAAGTTTCGCTGGCAAGAATTCTTTTCCCATCATGATTCAAAGTAGAAATCAAATTTTTGTTTTTTGTTTTGTTTTGTTTTGTTTTGTTTTGTTTTCATTTTGATTGCTCAACCTTTCACTCCGTTGCTTATCTAAATTGAATTAAAATTGAATTTGCTTCCGACTAATTTTCTTAAAACTTTATTTTGAAACCCAAGCAAAGAGATAACAGTTATTTGATTAGCAGACCAGTCGCTGTTTTATCGCTTCTGTACCGCAGTAACCAAGCTAATTGTTGTAAGGTTCAAGAAGCAAGCTATAATTAAGCTCCAGAGGAACTGACTGTATTCAGTCGCCATTATACATTTCAAACTCATCTAACTGAAACGAACTTTTGGTGCTGGCACAAAACATCTCCAGATGCATTCCCCATATTTAGACTGTACGCAAGCCATACCCCGAACATATTAAATCTGGGTGCGGTCTTTCCTCGAAATTTGCAGTATTAATGTGTATGTAAATCTCCCTCTAAGCTAGAAAAACTTTGTGTAAAAGATCTTACTAAACTACTCAAAAACGGGGAACAGATTAATATCAATATTCTTGACTGGTTTTACCATTACCGTTATCAAGTCAGTTGCTGGCTAGTCAGGATCAGTGAGACTCTCACCACGCAAAATGAATCGAAAGTTTTGATGTTTAGATAAAACTGAATTGCATTGCGCATCATTGCTGCGCACGATTCCCGCGTCATTAGCGCGCACATAAGCGCGTGCACATATACAACTTAAAGAAATTTCCATCGGGACAAGCTCACCAGCGAAATAAACGAATTTGCCTCTTGACTGGTTAGCCATAGAATTACACTGGCTAATGAGGTCGGTATGTCAGTGTAATAATTACTGAGATCAATACAGTAAACTATCGGTGAACACTAATGGAATAAAAAACAAATTACAGGTAAAACCTTTTATTGGCAGAGAGAGAACCAAAGTTAGATCTGAATGAAGGTCGAAGTGAAGATTACAAGTGTTGTGGCTGACACAAACTGCTCAAAACGGTAAAAGACACGACGATGTTCGTGGATTTGTTTTTCCAATTCAGATTCAGATCAGATTTTTTAAGATCGTCTCCTAGTCTCAAGTGATGTTTGTTTTCAATGGATTACACTATTTTCCACCTCTGTCCATTTAAAGCTCTCGAGCGAATATCTTCATTAAATCGATTGTAATTGTAATCCCCCGCAGAACTTGTAAACCCAGAAACATATGGCAAATTTCGCCTAATTCTTGAATTCACATCTCCTATTACATCCTTCTTTGATTATTGCTAAACACACATTCGCATATAAATGAAAACCGTAAAGCTGATTAAAAAGCGCAACTGCCCCGTTGCGTCTGCTCAAAATGAGTTCAGTCCTTCTTAGTACATATCTGCATGTCTAGGTGGAATATGAAGACAGGGGGTTAATTATTCACAGCCCACGCGTTCTTTCGTTCTTTCTTTCACTCTTTCTTTCTTTTTTTTTTGTTTTTGTTTTTTCATCTCACCTGAAAGGGCAACATATGCCGTCAAATGTGGTCATCCACTGTTCAACATGAAAAGTAGTTTAGATTAAATCGAAAAGACCTAAATAGTTCTGAATCTCGCTTGTAGAGGGAAAGCTAGGACGGAAGCTTTTTAACCTTCATAAAAAGAAGATATGTAGAAGAAATTAAAAGCTTTAGTGAGCAATCGCCAATTAACGCAAACTGCGGAAAACTATTGATATCTACAAAGTTGAGCGAAGGAAATGAACTTGCAGCAAATGTGAAGGCCCGTATAATGGCATGATATCAATGTGAATCAGTTGAGTCTCGAGCGAAGGGTAACCTCCAAAAAATCCGGAATCCTCGATAGGAAACAAACTTTGCATTAATGTGGACAGCTTTCAACGTTTTGAATTTTTTCGTGAAAAAATTGTTTGCCGAGAATATCATTTACGACTGTTTCTTAGTCACAAAATATACATCATTCACTAACACGAGCAAAAGGTTTTAAGACAACAACTATTTACCTGACCAAAGAAGACAACTCAAACCGTCGCTGAATTTGGACTCGACAGGTTCTTGCTGCCTTCTCGTTTTCAATTTGACTGATGAACCTTCTGCCTCAAAGACTATAAAACGCAAATGAAATTGTTTCTTGAAAGGGAGTTGATAACTCATAATTTCAAGGTTTTACAAAAGACAGAACAGCTGTCTTGCGGGCATTCACTAAGTTAACCAATCATATATCCCCATAGACTGAAAAAGCAACGAATTGGACCATTAAGCTTTTGATATTACAGACCGCTTATAGAGAACTGCCGTCTTCTCTTAGAATTGTCATATAATTACATGGCTTTCTTATAATAACTTCTATTTGAATGCTGAAAAGAAATCCGTTCCTTTTACACGTAATAATTGTAAGGGTGATGTGTTGCTCAAAAAGTGAAATCAAATCCAGTTAGTTCCATTTTTATTATGTACTATGTCATTAAAAGTCTCAAAATAAGTGAAATTATTGTGTTTTCAAAAATGTCTTCAATGAACAATTTTACGCGTTTTTACTCGCATTGAATAACTTCAGGACTACTGGAAAACTGGGTTTAAAATACTCACGAAAAAGATGTCCCAAGTTTCAGTTCTTAAGCTTGCTCAGCCAAACGACTCATCACTTCAATTGATCACTAGGCTATATAATCATTTCATTCAGACAATATTTTCCTCTAGCTGGAAAGTTAGACTTTCAGTAGTGTTAACTTAAAGATCTTGACACCTTACCGTAAATAATTATCCATTAGTAAACTGACTGACTTAAGAAATTTTGCTAATGACTTTATTAATGAGTAGGAGTTCAGCACAACCTTAACTTTTACACGCTTGAATTTCCCTCTGCTATTTGACTCTCGGATATCAGTTCTAAGAATGAATTAAACCTGTCTTGAATTTCATTTACACAAATTATTCTAATAATCTTAGATGGCAAATTTAAGTCCGTTTAACTTGATATTAGGATTGCCGTGCGAAAGCACGGCATGCCTAAAAGGGGTAAAGTTGTCGCTTACCACTTGAAAATATCGATTCCATTTTATATACATCCTTTTATGTAAAGGCAAAGACAAAGCAACTGAGACATCTGCAATAAACAATTATGAAGGGGGTGGTATCAAAACGGTTGATATTGAAAGCATGTTTAAATCTTTTCTCCTCGCTTGGCTGAAAAGAATCTTTGGAAATAATTCAAGCGCATGCATGGAATAATTATTTAGAATATTTTTTAAGAGAGACAGGTGGTCTGGTTCTTTTCAATTGCAACTATAACGTCAAAGACTTAACGACCAGTTCTCAATTCTATATAGTTATTGAAATGGTGGTCTGAATTTCGCAAAGACAATGCTGTGGAAACTAATTGGCATAAACTAATGTGGAATAACCGGCAAATAAGAGTAAACAACAATCCAGATTTTAGACGGTGGGAGATCTGCGTTTTGACCTTAACAACGTCGACTCTTATGAATTATTTGCAAACATAGAGAAGACGAACTTTCTGGAATGTACCAGACTACGCTATTCTGTACCGCTAAATTTAAGGAAAACTAATCGTAATCCAGATTACATAGTTCTAATCCATCCTTTCAAATTGACATCGGCTTTTTTGATGCCGGAACTAAAACGAAATCAAAAGACTGCTATATTCTCTTTTAGTCCGTAAAAAGGCATACTTTCTTAATAACGCGGAAAAAACTAATGTGTGAATTTAATTCACAATGATGAAACATTGAGTAAAGCTCTTTCTCTTTCCCATTCAGCTGCTTTTAAGGTATATGTTAAGACCTTTCAGTTCAAGGTATTAAACTTTATACTCTACATAAAATTCAAAATATTGCAGATAATGCATGAGCAAACGTGAATCAGAAACGATGCAGCATTTCCCTACGAGTGCTCTTACTTAATTTCTTTCTGGAGAATATTTCGGAAAAAAATCATAACCAAGGCAGTAATAAAGTCATACAGCCCGCATGTTGAACTCGTAAACGGTGCGTGAAGATACAAACAAGTATTAGCACGCAAGTTTCCCAGATAACAAGTGTTGTATGCCTTCAGACATCAAGACACATGAGATGAAAGGAATCCTAAAGAAACAATTTATAAATAATCATTATCTATGTCTGGTCTGGGTACAAGTAATACTGAGATACAGAAAGAAACTGAAAGATAAGCAGATAGACATAAATATACATGTAGATAATTATATACAGGCACACAGACATATCTAAGGGAAAGCAATCAATAACCATACATGAACACTGTGGCTGTTAGATGTATGTTAAAAATGTTGGCAGCATTTTGCAGGTCACTGACTCTGCTTGGCAATAAGATGAAATAAAGAGATTTTTAATTATCATTCTATAGATTACTGTAGATAATGGTAATAGGACTGAGTGGAGTCCAATTTCGTCTCTAATCATATGAGTGATTAACAAAATCGGACGACCGCAAAGCAGGAGTCCGATTTGTTAATCATGAGTATGATCACAGACTGAATTGGACAACACGAAGCCCTGTTACCAATTAATCAAAACTACAACAAAATTCGAGAAACGAAAAAACCATTGATTGAGCGCTGAACGATTAAACGTTGTTATGAACGCTAAAAAACACAGCAGTTTACTCAACAAAGTGCACTACAACAGCGCTCGCAAAATGATGCATACTGTCCAATTACAAGCATGACGCGTACACTGTCCAATTAATGCTTGAATCGGGCTGCTGATAGCCAATCACGTTCGACAATTTTGTTATAGTTTTGATTATATAGGTAATCGTACAAAAATGCAAAATAATGCAATTAAAGATTCACATTATAAGTGATATTTGAAAGAATTTTCAAATATCACAAGAGGCATAACTCCTTAATAGCTTGAACTTTTATACGATTATTCATTCATTATATGACTGAGAAAATGAAATGCAAACACATTAATTTACACTGGAGTGCAAATTATGAATTAATGATAAATTGGCCTGCTCTCAGCCAATCATAATGAAGTAATTTTCTCTGTCATATAATAAGATAGGTAACACTGAGATCCATAGAGAAACTGACAGACAGAATGCATAACGCAAGTAATTATCAATTGTGTCATGCATTCTTGACATAGATAACAACTTAGTTCAGAGAGATTATAAACTAGTAGAATTTCTACTCATTGCCAGGGAGCATAAGCTAATCACCATGAGACAATCTTGAGACAAAGGATTATAACTGACTATTATTAGAAATTAATTAACATTATCATTCTCTGGAGGTGAAGTGGGCATTGGTGAATATCTATGGCCGAGACAAAGTTGAGGTAAATATTCACCAATGTTCATTGAGTCTAATAACGCTTTTAGTATAACTTTCAGAGGTTAAAAGAAAGAACCAAAAAAAATATTAAATAGTAAAGAAAATAAATTGTTTGTTTATCTACACGTATGAGCTGTAGTTTTCATAATAACTTACATCAATTGAAAATCAATGTACATATACATTTAGCAGTAAAATTAACCATCAAAGGAAACACTATGAAAAATAAATTCATCCCATACCTTTATTTCAGCACCTTTCAGTGTTGTTGCCTTCATGCAAAGTTTTACTTATCATCTAAAATTGAGTAACTGATAAACTCCAGTGCGAAGAAAAATACATATTGCCGGGTCACTTGTCAAGGCTAGTGATCTGCGAAACCACTGCATTTATGATGCCTAAATGTCTTGAGTACTATAGCTAGTTCTTGAAAACATTTTTGGTCTAAAGTTGGTGGTAGTCCTTTCTAAAATTCCCCATGCTTTGAAAATCCCAGTCTTGGTATGATGTCTTGCAAATAAAAGAATTTCATCCATTTATCTGCTATGTTTACTTGCCTGGATTGCAAACATGACATAGCTTAGTAACCTGCAAGCTTAGAATTCACCATCCAGCACAGTAAATATAGCTTCATAGGCTGAGCTATTCAACCAACCAGAATGCGCTATTATTTTAGTAACCTCTGGAAACTATACTAACTCTGTGCAACTTGTTAAGTTAAGCTGGTTATGGACGTAGTTCAAAACGACTCAACAATACAATTCAGATAAAGTTCTCCAAGTTATATAATCCACACAACATGACACAAGTTCACAACACAGAGTTCCAAGTTCCTATGCACGTGGGCTTAACGAATAATTCACGCCAGGTCACGAGACTATCGTTACATAACTCTCAGTAATTTGAATAGAAATGGGTTAATAAAAAAACCCCTTCTCTTTATGAACAGCTTAAGGTTGTGTAGCTGATTTTAAGCATGTTTGTTAACAAAAGACTTACATGTTCATAATTTACACGAACGTCAGCAGTTCACATATATATTGTACTGCATAAATATATAATTCCACTTTCATCGGTGTCTCTCCTTTTTGGTCCCAGACGTAGTGATGGAAAGCTTATTAAACTTCATTTAGATTGCCACCATTTTCTTTCGGGAATTTCTGTAGCTCCGAAGCACGTGGTATACCAATCAGTTTTGTGACTCGGATAAAATGAACAATGGATCTTTCCTATTTATTTTTTTAAACCCTTACCCTACCACACGTCTTCCCATGGAGTTAATCGTGGGTTTCTTCAATTCAAGCAAACGTCAATATTCACAAAAAGATAGCGACGAAAACGACGAAAGTTCTGCAGTCTCTGCAGTTGACTCGGAGAGACTCGGTTGTTACGTCACGTAGGGAGACACAAATCGTACCGGACCACACCTGAAGAACGGCGAATGCACCGTTTGTTTCACTCGTGTTTGCTTAAACTTACCTTTTATTTGTTGAAAAGGCCAAATACAAAATAATGCTGTCAACGTGCAATGGAATCTAATGGAGCAGGGTTTTTTTTGGCCCCATTGCAAATAAAATTGTCTTTATTTCATTCAAAAGAGACAGGTACGAAATACTGTCGTTTAGAAACTAGAAGATTCAAGAAAGGTGAGAAGTTGTCAACTTTTACATCCTTATGTGCTACAGAATAACTGTACCCACGCCGCGTTCTGCTTGCTCCGCACGACAACTTTTTCCCCCTGTTCTATTCCCCTCTGCGCAGCCTAGCCTGCTCAAAGGCTACAAGGTACAAAATCCCTTAGCTCGTACACTCTTTTCTTTTTCTCCCTCCGTTCGAGCCAAAGATGAGATTTCAGTCAAAAAGTCTCTTTGTCGACACAGCTCTAAACAAATTTGAGAAGCATCTTTTCTGGATTATTGCTTGGTTCGAAATAATCGGGAAAGTAACTACCAATACGCATGGCATGGTAACTACACCATACTTCATCAGTATGAAATCCCCGTGCCAAATCTAGAGCGGAAACGAGTACAGCTTGCAAAGTTGGGTCAGTTTTTACTAGTTCACTTGGTCTATCATATCAGCTTAACATCAAATCTCCTCGATCATGTCTAAGTCTCCGACACTGTGGCAGTTTCGAGGACTTACATCTGCAAATGCTTCTCGTTCAAACGACCGTTGTCGGTGCAATCTCTTCATTGGAATAATTTCGCTCTCCTCGTTGCAGTCATCCACACAAGACTCGGATCGCGATCTTTGACCAATAACGTCATCACTGCTGGAAGAATAATGGCGACAAACTGGAAAATATTGAGAAGAAGGCGGGGACTCGGTAAAAATTCCACGGCCCACCTTAGCTGAAACTTTCCCGTTGCCATGCCAACTCCTGTGTTTTCGTGCACGTGGCTCATTCACATCAGGCGGAGGTCTCATGTTTGTTTCGTTTCCACTGACCTCTGAAGATCCTGCAGGCTCTTCAATTAATGGCACATCAGTTATTTTATTCTTCATGACGAGAAGACCCTCGGTGCTACTTTGAGCGGAACTACCGTTGCTGTCAGTGATAGCCAGACTGGTTGAAGAGTTGTCAACTTCTACGACCATAGATATTGTTCGAGGTTTCACGTGTGGAACTCGCCGATCTTTCTTCTGAGCTCTACCTCTGTGTTGCAAGCAAGCGTTGTCTTCGATCGCATCAAGCCGGCTTGCTTGTGAAGGTAGCGATGCAGCTAGTTTACTTATAGTATCATCTTTCGGCGGTTTCGATTTTTTCGCGTATTCGTGCAACTAGACAAAGACAGAAGAAAATTGTTAGTTCTCAGCTATCTGGAGTTATGGTTCACCACTAAATTTTCTCCGATTCTTCTTGGTTTAAACTGATCGCATGACGCGATAGTATTCATCCGCGGAGAGACACTATCAGCCCATAGTACCCGTCCGAGGAAAATACCCGGATGGATAGTACTCGTCCGTGAAAATATTTCTGTAAACAAGCGGGCTTATAGAAAGTAAACAATTGAATTTGTATTAAGAGGGTTTTTGTTTGTTTTCGTTTTCAAATTTTACATTTGGCTTTCACGGCTTAACTAAAAAAGTTAAAAAGAATTTAATAAGATTAAGACCAAAAGGGAATTAAGTGTGCGCTTGAGTTTATTACCTTCCTCTCGATAATAGGCACAGGTAAAGAGAGAAGAAGCACCCCCATTAAAGAACAGGCTGCTCCAAGAAGCTTCCCTTTCACCGTCTTGGGAACAATATCACCGTAACTGGAACAAAGCGAAAAATTATTAGCATATCATAATTCTGAAAACTATCCAAGGTTGTTGATTGATTGGTTAATCCTCGTCGTTTTCCTACAAGCAGTAAAAAGTTAATATCATTACAGTTTCGATCCAAAAATTATAAAGCAAAGGTATCCAAGAAATCTATCCCGGAAAAGCCTAGCAATAATTCAAGTCTTCTGTACATTTTTATCTCGATGTAAATGGATGCCTTGGCGTGTGGATGCTTACCCAAGTGTTGTCATGGTGACCAACGTGTACCAGCACGCTTCTGGAATGCTGATAAACTTAGTGTCATCTTCTTTGCTTTCAAAAAAATACATAATGGTCGAGAAGGTGACCATCAAAGCCAGAAACGAGAAGAGAATTCCTCCAAGTTCCGTAGCCGCGCTCCTGACTGACATTACCAAATTTTGAAACTGTTCGGAGTGCCTAGCCAATTTCGTGACACGAGAAACTCTGAACATTCGAAAGACTGTGACAACGAAGTCCAATATCTTATTGTTGGACCTGACTGCACGCTCGACTACGGCGATATAATAGGGAAGAATTCCAAGTAGATCGATCACATTCGACATTTCCCGCGCAAAGTCTAATCTTTGTGGCGCAGAGTACAATCGCGCCATGTACTCGATGGTGAAAATACCAACACAAAAAGAATCAATTCCGAAGAAGATTTTTTGATGTACTTCGCCATGATTTGGCCCTGAGTCTGTCGGAACTGTTTCCGCTACAATAGCAGAGATGTTCAGGAGCACGACAGCTCCAAACAGATAGCCAAACGCTGCCGACTCTTTGGAACTCTTACTGTTAGTCAGAAATTCCCACAGTTTTTGTCGAGCAGTCCACCGGTGGGTGAGTTTATTTTCGATAGTCGCCATCTGTTTCTTTTTCTTTGTTTGTTCTTCATCTCCCAGAATAATGTGCTCACAGCAACAGTCGGATACAAGATATTGAGGAATGCCAAAAAAGTCCAACTCATCCAAGATGGCTTCCATACAGCCCGCTGTTGGAGCGGGCAAGTGAAACTTGCCATCGCGATAAAACTCAGCAATGTTCTTAAATATAACGGGATCACGGTCAAAGAAATACTCCATTCTCTCCTCATCGTAGAAGAACTTTTTTCGTTCGCTGCCGAGGAGAGTGTCTGGGAACTTCTCCAAATGTTTCGTGGGAAGTTCATATTTCGTTCCTCCGACATTCACAGTTATTCTGTCAACACTAGTTGCTACTAACGTTTGCAGTGAGGTGGTGCTTAATGAAGCGAGCATCTGCGCAGAATTGAGTAAGATCCTTCTAACCAATGGTCCATGCCCGACACGCGTTCTTCGATGGTGTCGTCGATTTTTCCCTTTGATCTTCACCATCTTGCCAAGGTGAATCAATTTTCTAACCAACGATCTTTGTAGCTTCTCTTTTTCTTGTCTGTCCATTAATTAAATCTTTATGATGCGCAACAAGGAACTCACTACGATTTGTTTTTATATAGAATCTACACAAGTATGAAAAAATGATAATAATACTTTTATCGTTGATTTCCATGGGTTGCTCTTTATCGGTGATCTTGGCTTTTAGTGTATGCCACGTGTTTTAAAAATGTATTAACCCTTCAAAACATTCCGGAATACTCCTGATAGGCTGCTGAATAAGCTCATAAGCATCTGGTATGGGTATTTTTTTTTTTTTTCGCTAAAAGCGCACCGAAATGCAAATAGAAAGATACGGTGCTAAATGATTCATATTTTTGTCCTGTCGCATGGTTATCGGTTTTTTATTAGTGATGATCTTAGAACCGCAAAGGGCCAACACGATCTGTAAAGGGGAAAGTTATCCTGTTTCTCGCCAGGCCATCTCACCTAGTCATCAATGCCTATGGACTATTTAGTCAGAAGTTTTTCATTATAGACATCTCGTTAATCAATCTTGTTTCAATAATAAGATATACTCTGAGCGTTAGTCCTTGCGGGCCCATCCCACAATTTAGTTAAATTATATCTATCAGCTCACAATGTTTTTTAAATGATGTTGCAAGCAATTTCAGATTGACTTAGAGATTAGGCGGTGCTAGTAATTTATCAAAAATGTTATTTACGTCAATTTTTTTAAAATAATTACAACTCTGAAAGAAAATCTCGTATATTTAAGTTAACCTGCTCCTTTGTAAAACATCTCAAATATTAACTGCCTATGCATTATTAATATTACAAGGCCAGCTGGTATGCACCAGAACAATATATCTGTCTGATAAGGAAATTTTCTTTAAAAGAAAAAAACATTTATTAAAAGCTGTTAAACTTCAATAATCACAATATTCGCATTTCCTTTTTTCCTTATTTTATTTTTGCGTTTACAAAAGAAGTGCTGTGAATCTTTAATTATTTAGTACTATCTATTGACCGCACCGTGATAATTTTTCTCTTCCAATACGATAAGAAAAGAGTTATGTCGCAAACCACAATTTTAGCTGTTGTTTTTTTCTTTGTTTTGATCATTAGCAGCTGTCCAAGAATTTGAATTAAATATGTTCAAAATCTGACTGACATATTCACAACGACGCTTAAAAGACGTCCAGTGGCACCTAGAGCCTTGTGATTTCCCTACTTCTCTGTACGTCCGTAAAGTCATCACAGGCAAACACATTATATTTCAAATTTTCATGATGATGATTGGCCTTGTCTGGTACATTCTGTCACATATCGGTCTTGCATGGATTAATTTTTTTGAGAATGATTCAGTGGTGCAAATAAACTATAATATTTATACTTCTCTTAGTCAGTGTGAAAAGAAATCGGAATTAATTAGGTGAAGAAGGTCTCAAACATGAGTGGATTTGGCAAAAGCAGTTATGTGTACGGTGTAAAATAAACAGCCCTTTCACAGTTAACTCTCCTCATTTGCATTACATTATAATCTAGCATGTATGTGAGGCAATTTCAGGCTATTTGGCAGTTTCAGCCCGAATCTATCCACGTTGAATTACATTGTAATGCAAATGAGAAAAAGTAACCCTCAAAACGGCTGTTAAAAGCCATTCTTCGAAGGGATAGGTTTCTCTGTTTCTGTCCCGAAAACATATCATTTCATGTTTGAACTGTTGTTTCAAGCCATAGACCCAAAGATGCTGCGGTATGTCCATAAAGGAATGTCGGAATCACCCAGGTAAGAGTGTTTTCGTTCCTCTGGATATTAAAGTTCGCTTTGACCCATAAAAGAAAGCAACAATGAAACGTTGCATAAAATGACAAGCGTTACTTTTATATTGACTTGAGAAATTGAATTGACAAATTTGAGCATCCTGAATTGAATTCTGCCGGACAGATTCATATTGATTACGCTAATTGGTAGAGTCAAGTGTGCAGCTTAATTATTGGACAAATTCACTATTATAAGAACTAATGAATTTCTAACGCACTAAAATCATAGCTGAAACATTTTGATCTTCTAAAGTATTGATGTGTTTTCTTTAGGTTTCTCCGTTACTATATTAAGGCCCAGGTCAAACGTCGAACTTTACATGAAAAGAACTAAATTGAGTGAATTAAGTTCGACGTTCGACTCAACTGAGAACGTGCTGGTCGATCTTAATTCGAATTAAGTTCGACGTTTGACCCAAAATTACAATTTAGTTCGTCTCATGTGAAGTTCGACGTTTGACCTGGGCCTAAGCGTTGTAACTTGTCCAGGGAACGTGTGTCGTTTTTTTAATTAACTAATCTTTACAGAAATAATGTATACAATTCAATTTGTTCAATCACTGTTGCAAGACCAAACCCAATTGTGATCTACTTGTGACACGCTTACGTTGAGTTATTAACCTACCACCGTTGTCGCTGTGCTATTAATTCGTAACTAAATACGCTACTCGTTTTCAAGTCTTTTGTTGCATCCATGTAGTTGGGTTGTATCTGTTATTTCTCAATATTTAATAGCAATTCATTTTAAAAACATACAATCGATGTAAAAACAGGTTGTAGTTGTTCATCGTGGAGAAGGACAATAATAAGACTAGCAGTATGCAGTCGATACGTCATGACCTCCATCGCAAATGGCCACATCGTGAGCAAACGATTATAATTTATTATTATTGCTATTATTATTATCAGTAGTAGTATTATTTATCATTATATTTATTTTTGTAAACTACATTTTGCCTACTTTTTTTAACGATTTTGATACAATTGCTACTGTAAATAGTTTTGTGCTGTAAATAATTATCATGATCATGTAAAGGTTTAGTGAAGAATTTTAACGAGCCCAATAAAATTGCTATTATTATTATTATTATTATTATTATTATTGTTATCATTATTATTATTAAACAGTCCATATTTTATAAAAAACTCATTATCTAGACGTTAATTCATAAGTTGTAGTAGTTTCTTCCTTTCTTTTTTGACTGCCTTTATAAAAGCCCTCTTTAGAGCACTTCTCGTTTTTGAAACGAAGAGCTAGACACGCGGTTTTTCTGGTAAAAATGTTTATTTCACGGTTTCCATATAGCAATGTTTAACATCAGAAGTTTTATTGTAAAAACAATAACACCCTTGCGGGTACTATCAAATTTCTTCGATTCCAGAAATTCCTACTTTGTTAGTTCACAACGAGTCGGAATCAGTGTTCATGTTCACGCTTTTAACTGAACCAAAAAAGGAATTGTCACCGAGCGATAAGTCCGATAAGTCTGAAACTGACCGGAAGGTTCGGGCCTGTTCTAGAACTGCCTTGGCGTATGTTTTTCAACATGACTACCGCTTTTTCTGTTCTCCAATTTCTCCAGCATTACAAATATTTCAAGGCTGCAGGAGCACTTTGTACCTTTTGTCGCTTAAACAGCGGCACACGCACAGTAAAGGAGACAAGTTTCGGTTTATCAGCGCAGTATTTTAACACAAACCGCACTTCAGATTGGTCCAGCTCCCAGTTGTATATGAAAAACTCGTCCAAGAGTCCGGCGAAATTTTTACCATCTGGTAAATGACCCCCGATCAAAACACGACCCCAGGCATCGGATAATTTCGGCTTGTGAGGATTGTTAAAACTCCCTCTTAAAAGACCGTTCACGTAAATTTTGGCGTCACCGGTTTCAGAGCTGTAAGTAGCAGTCACGTGACTCCAAAGGCCTTCGGGTATCGCAACATCGTCAGTTTTGATGTCGAATATCACGCCACTGGCAGCGGTCTTGTGGCGCCAGTGCAATTTTCCGTTCACTACTTCCAAGTTGTAAATATCATGCCATTCGTCGTTTTTGTTGCTCACTGCTTGGAATATGGAGTGACGTCCTTTAGTTTGGTTTAAACTGATCCAGGACGCTATGGAAATGGCCGAGGTTGGTTTGTGGTGAAATTTGCGCCCGTCAAGATACACACTTGGAATTTTGTCATTCGAGGCGTCCAAGCATGCGCCACATTTGTCACAACCGCTGTTTAGAATGTGCGCTCCTGAAAAAAAATGAGTTACGATCGTTTTTAAAGCAATATTTATAACTCATATTATGAAAGCGACCAAAGTTACTAACCATCACAGAACGAGTACAGGACCAAAGAGAGTTAAAGAATAGGGTGTAACTTTTGCCTGTGAATCGATAAGGTAGAGTAATCACCGTTCAAATTGAAGTGGCTCATTTCGGCAGGCGAATCTAACTTGAATTCTGCCTCAATTTGAAGTAATTCTCTTCAATATCTATAACTTGTCAGAATAACTAGAAACACGAAAGTCGATGGAATTCAGGTACTTTGTATGCGCTTTGTCTCTGTGAAGTTGACGGGTATAGGAATTGATATTTCTATCTAGCGTTATTTGATTGGGGAAAAGTATGGAACTTACAGCAGATTGACTGTATTTCTTACCTCCGTCGAGAGTAGCATTGTTATCAAGACCTGATTGATCCATGACTTGGTGAGTTGTTGTGTTTACTTTTTGGAATCCAAAGTGAAGAACCATTCTATTAAACTCGCACTTTCTGTACAGAACTTTCACTTCGGCAGGAGAAATGACACGATCAAACATGAAAACGTCATCTAAAAACGAGATGAACTTATCTCCAAATTTCTCTCCAATACCTGTGGCTGTGAAATCATCAGGCAACCCTTTGTTTTTCTTTCCAACTGTTTCAGAAATAAGTTTACCGTTTACGTAAACGCGCGCAATTCCATCCTTTGAGTTGAATGTTCCCGCCAAATGAATCCATTGGTTCTTTGGCACTTTAACAAGCTTCCTAGTACTGCCATTAGCGGATGATTCCGCTCCGTCGTCGACGTCAAACCAACGAACGAGTCCAGGTTTTCGGGATTTGACCCACATTGCAATAGAAGCTGCTTTCGTTGGCTTCCTGGTAAATTGATCAGCTTTGTACATGACTTCACCGTGTTTTAGGTTAACAACACGGCCGCACGAGCCTGCAATAAACGTAGTAAGCGACTAAATAAACTTAAGGTAATCATATTATATTTCCTATCTTTCTTTAAAGAAGCTAGTATTTATCAAATAAGTTAACTTAACAGAGACATTTTCACGGTTTCTGACGTGGAATTCATCAGTGGTTGCATGTTAATTCAAAATTATGAGTCAACATATTTGTTTCCGATGCAAATGATTTTTTTTTTGTCAGTATTGCTATAAGTTAAAAAAAACTGCCACTAGTTCTAAATCTATATGCATTGTATCGAATGAATTAAGACATTATTATTATTATCATTACCATTACCATTACCGTTACCATTACCACTACCAATACCATTACCATTACCATTATCATTATCATTATCATTATCATTATTATTATTATTATTATTATTATTATTATTATTGTTAAATGTGTGCGCACAAGTTACTCGGGAAGTTTTTTTGCGCAGTGCAGACTGTGGAAATGCTCAGTCCTATAAATTATGTTTGTCACACAGAAAAGGTCCTGATGCCCTTTTTGGGTGGCCTATAGGTGATAAAATAACCAGATTAAGGTGAAACGAGGGCAGCGAGTAGGCTATCGGAAGAATGGAACTCCCACATATATGGCATGCGGATTTGAGTCAGAAATACGTAAAAGTTTTCACCTTCTGGGTACGACGTCAGGTAACAGTTCATAAACTTAAAAGTTACATCCCTAGAAGAAGATTATACCTACACAACTGTGATGCTTAATTTTTCAACTGGATCAAATCAAGTCAAGTGGTTCGGTCATATTCTAGTGCATGCCTTACCCATTGTCCGGTTTGATATTTCTGCTCCATTGGTAAGACCTGCGTCGTTTTTGTTACCAGAATCATCTTGGACGCTGTTGTCGCCCTGTTTTACCGGTATGGTATCAAAGCTTAAGTGCATAACAGCACTACGAGCTGGAAAACAAATCCCAATAATAAATTTGTTTTGACAATTAAATGGAATAGAAAGCACAAATACAAAGAACTATAAATAATATAGTGTGCATCTTTTTAGCTCGCTGATAGCTACTGAATTCCACCCGGAAGAAATAAAACTTACACAATTTCCTGATAATTTTTTCTCTCATTGTCGTTGAAGTGGAACCTGAAGCTGTAGGTCATAGAAGCTTTTGTTAGTTGACTCAGAAGCGATAAACTAAAACCTTCACAGAACATTAATGCCAGAATAGGATAATTGACTCACACCAATAATCAGCTGATTTGGGCTCTTTTCAGGGATAACATTAATGTTATGGAAATTATCTCTTGGTTTCAGTTTATTAAGGTCACTCACAGTCTACGTTGCCGGTTTCGGTAGTATATCATGGATCGCGCCCAGGGCCACAGCCAGTTTGAGGCAAACCGAGGCGCTTGCCTCAGTTTCCGTCGTTTCTATCGTTTTCTTTTCTGAAGGGGGAAATGAAAACACCGCTAATTCCCTAGGAAGAAAATTAAACCGTGGGCATTGCCTCAATTAAAAGTTTTTCTTCTGGCCACGGCCCCGGGGGCGCGGTTGTCTGTATTACTCCCCCTGTATTATTCGCATTAGGGTATCTCTTGAAAGTGAAAAATTCATGGTAGTTTGTAAGGTTTAATTTTTCTGGCTTGTAAAGAGGTATCATCCATGCCATTTTTCTCTAACAATATCGATTATGCTCTTTCGTTTTACTGATTGATAGCACCTCAATTAACATAGATGTAAGTTCATATTAGAAGTGGCCCGGCTGAGTAACAACAAACGTACCTGGCTTGGGTAACGAGATTGATGCAGTCGGAGGGAAAACACCAGGTGATTCTTCGCTTGTAGACTCTGAGGAATAAAAGAGTTGTACAAGTCTAGACGTAGGTTCGCATGGTTTAAAAACAAAGAACGATGAGTGAAAGGAAAATCGCCTCCACGCCCTAAACTGCTCGTTCGTCTTGATGTTCTTCAATTAACCCAATGCTAGGAGCATGTTATATGGAGGTAAGCATTACAGATAGGTAAACATAAGCATAGACATATATCTACTGTATATAAAATGCTGCCTAGTGGCAACTGCATATTTGAAAACGGGCCTCACTCTAAGTGTATAAAGACTGAATTATAATTACTAACTGCATCATGGCTGGGTTGTCACTGGTAGTAGTCACCACATAAAAGTTAGCTGAAAGGAATCAGTTTCGAATAATATTCTATCTATCAGCCTACGAGCAGGCTTACGTTTTGGAGCACAAGCGCGAGTAGCGTAGCCGCGAGCGTGGAATCGGGCGGCGAAGCTGCGAGACTGCCAGATCGCTTGGCTCTTCGGCGCTCGCGCGTGTGACTCAAAGGTGAGCTGGCTGGCAGGCTATCTTTCTATAGCTATTGTGCAGAGTTTAAAGCACAATCTTTTTACGACTTGTTTTTGCATGACGATAATTTTGGAACAAACCTTCTAAACCATCTTTTAGTTCCTCGTTCTTTTCACTCTTGTCATCCGAAGAAGGTGATTCAGCATGGGTATCCTGGTCACTATCGTCTGCTGTATCTGTCTCTGGTTGCCCTGTATCAGGCTCGCTGTCTGATACACCTGCTTCGGATTGACTCGTTTTGGCCCTTTCATTTAATTCGTCCCTCTCTTTGTCTTCTTTATAGGAACCTTTCTCTAACTGGTTAGTTTCAACCTGTTCTTCATCGGAACTTGGCCGTATGTGCTTTGAAGAGTGATAGTGCTTGCGATTGGGAGTTTCGTATGCATCATCTTTTATGGCATTTTCGGTTGTCTCACCTACACACAACAACATGTTTGAAACTGTCAATATCTTCTGAATCTTCATTATCCACCCTTGTGTTACACTGTAAGCTAAGGGTCTCAAACACTTTGCGATCAAGGGGCAATTGAAAAAGCTGTGTAGTAAGTGAGTTGAAAATGTCGTACGAAAATTGATTGTTCGTCTCGTGAGAATCGTTTGAATGAGAGTTACTCTGAGCTCTTGAGACTATTTTGATGACTTTTCATAAAACAGTACTGTCTTTCTTGAGACTGCTCTCACCAGAATTAACACACTAATGGAAAATTAAGTATCAACGCGGCTCATGCCATTTACTGTTACTACAAAAGGAAGAAAGGCTGTAGCATTGCTGTAAAATACATTTTTGTTACCCATGAAATACAATGAAGGTTGGCATGTATTTTGCACCTGCTGGGTGAAATGCGACGTCGTGCAACTCTTCATCGATTCCGTCGTTATGTCCAATGATGCCTTTTCCATTCAGTGGTTCAAGAGTATCTTCATTAGCCCAGTGATTTCTGTGGTGATGTCTGGGACGGTAATGTCGCCTTCCTCCTGTGCCGTATCTCAGATTAGAAGTGGAGTGCGATTCATCAATATCCTCTGGCTCACCGATGGATTTGTCGTCATCTAAATCGTCTGAAAGAATGAAAAAAGGGACACAGATTTCTTTTTATTTGTGGATTTCAGTTGAACATATCGCGCGTTCCGATTTGTTATTTTTTGCTTAACGAAATCACATGCGAGATATTGAGCGGGATTCGTTGTCGTTTGAATTAATCTTACTACTGATCACTTACCTGTTTTATTAGTATTTTTTCGATTTTTCTAGCCCCTTTTTAGCTCAATTTCTTCTTCCCAAGAATTCGGATGATTCCTAATTCGAGTTCTTACGAAGACAATCACAGTCGAGATTCTTGGGAGGTCAAAACAACTCTTTTCCATATCAATAAATGTATAATGATAACACCAATATCAAAATCAAAAAAAAAAACTAGCCAACGACAGTTGTATGATTTATAAAGATCTCGCAAACTATAAAGAAGTCAGGAATTTCAAAAATTATCATCGCCTTTTCTTGTTAGTGATACAGTACCTGAGATGTAATGAAGTCTCCTTTCCTTCCTGGCTTCACCCCTCAAGCCGTCAACTCCATCGTTCTCGTTGAAGTTATTGTCTATACCCCACGTTTTCTTGTCATTTTCATAGGCGAATTTGTCGTATTCAGGCTCCTCTGGCAACTGATCATCCTCGGAGGTAAAATAATTTCTTGCGACGTCACCTCGTGACACTAAAGATAACAGAATGTTACTTTACTCCTAGAATCATATTCTTGCAATAGAACTTTCCACAAATATCATATATTATTATCCAACTGCAGCAAATA